AACCCAGACTGCCCACACACAAACAAAGCATGCTCTTAGTCCATGGTGCCATCTCCTCATGATTTTCTCAGTAACATTTGTATGAATATTGGGCCAGAGTGATAGTACAATGGATAGGATGTTTGCCTTGCATGCAGCTAACCCAGATTTGATCCCCAGCATCCCATATGGTTCCCCTGAGCACCACCAGGAGTAATTCCTGAGTGCAGAGCCAGGAGTTACCTGAGTACTGCTGAGTGTGGTCCAAAAACTAAGACAGAAAAAATAAGAGAGAGAGAGAGAGAATATAGAATAGGTGCTGGAGATAGCTCAAGGGACTAGCGCTAATGCCTAGCATGCACGAGGCTCTGAGTTGAATATCTGGCACCGCATTGTCCCCCAACCTCCAAGTAGCCCTGATGGCTCCTAAGCATTTCTGAGTCCAAACACTGAATCATCTGGATCATATAATCACCAAAAGTGTCTCCTGACTCTCTTAAGTTTTACGTGGGAGATTATCCACTAAAAACCCAGAATGTAGGATATAAACATACAAAATATATTAATTATGTCATTTGTAAGGCTTCTTGCCAATAGCATCTATTAATAAAGTTGGTGGCTCAAAAATTCTTAGAGTTTTGGTGAGGAAAGAGTGATAGCGATCAAGTGAAATGAGTCAGAGAGGGATAGACATAGAAAGATAGCAAAAAAAAAAAAAAGAAAGAAAGATTGCATTCATCTGGGGAACATAAAGTAACAAAATAGGAGACTAACACCCAAGAATAGCCGAGATTAGTACCAGGAGGTTTACTCCATGGCTTGGAGGCCAGCCACACGTGCTAGGGGAAAAGGCAGCTCAGATAGAGAAGGGAGCACCAAATAAAGGGGGTTGGGAGGATCCTCCCAGGATGGGAGATACATGCTGAAAGTAGACTATAGACTGAACATGATTGCCACTCAATGCCTCTTTTGAAAACCACAACACCCAATAGGAAAGAGAGAACAAAAGGGAATGCCCTGCCACAGAGGCAGTGGGGGATGGGGGGAATGGGGAGTGGGAGGGTTACTGGGATCAGTGGTGGTAGAGAATGGGCACTGGTGGAGGGATGGGCACTCGATCATTGTATAACTGAAACCCAAGCACAAAAATTTGTAAGTCTACAACTGTACCTCATGGTGTTTCACTAATAAAAATTTTAAAAAAAAGAAAGAAAAAAGAGTGATAGCGATCGCTCAAGTGGCAGAGCTCAGCCCAACTCGTGTGACTGGGACCTCTCTGGCTTCTAGCACCTCAGGTCCCGCCAGGGCCACACTGTCAGCTCAAGCCCCAAACCATCAGCCCGAACCATCAGGCTAAGCATCGCTGGGAGTCACTTCCAGGACCCTCAGTCCTTGAGGGTGGCCCCCATAAGACAGTTATACTCAGGGGCCAGGAGATGGAGCTTGGGGTGCATGCCTAGCAAGTGCCCAAACTGGGCTTGATTTCTGGCACCCCATGTGCACGTGGTCCCCCAAGCATCCCCATGTGCACTGCTGGAGGCCTCCTGAGAACTGCCTGGGGGGGGGGCAGGTATCCCCAGCACTGCGGGGCCCAAGCAGCAGCAGCACATCCTCAGGCCCTGATGTCGACCTTATCACTCAGTTGGCCTAGAATCACCACTGGGGCCCGTGGACCTCTTGACATTGCTGGGAGACCCTTCACAAGAAATGTTATATTCAGAGTTTTGACTCTTTGGAGGATTCAGTGGCTCTATCCCCCACATAGTTCAAGGGTTCAATTACATATACACACATCAGTAGTGACCAACTGAACACTACATGCACTATAAGGATCATATGCCTGCTTTCGGGTCTCATGAACAGCTATCACTATCACTGTCATCCCATTGTTCATCCATTCGCTCGAGAGGGCGCTAGTAACATTGCCATTCATCCCAGCCCTGAGATTTTAGCAGCCTCTCCTTACTTGTCCTTCCCAATGGTGCCGTATTGGAGGCTCTTTCAGGGTCAGGGGAATGAGGCCCATTATTGTTACTGCTTTTGGCATATCGAATATGCCACGGGGCTCTTGCCAGGCTCTGCCATGATGAATAGCTATAGCTACCAGATTGCTCAGAGGAGAAAACAGATTCTGAAAGGGGAAGAAGGAATTTTCCCAGTTGGTTGTGGCCAGGCTGGAATTGAGCCGGGCAGCCAATAAGCCGCATAGTGCAAGGCACAGGAAGCTGGGGTGAACAGACTCTGATGAAGCCCAAATGACTAGACCCAGCCCAGGGAGAGGGGAGCTGCTTTCACTGGGAGTCTTCTGGCCGTTTGTGGAGTAGAAGCCAACAGGGAATCTTTTCGAGCCCTGAAACCCTGCAACTGGACTTTTTAATCCCATGACCTGGCTCTTTTGCCCGAGCAGACCTGCCCTGCGGGTCCAGGCGGCAATTCTGAGCAGGAACAAGTTCTGCCCGAGGACTGATCTCAGTCCTAGCAAAGTGTGTTACACATTTTCATAGAAATTGGTCCGGTGGGCTGGGAGGAGCTGGGGGAGTTCACATCAAGTGTTCAAGTGAACCCTGTTGAAACTCAGGGTTGGAATGAGGGATGGGTACCAGAAGCTGCACGGACCCCGGGGGCAGAGGGCAGGTGCAGACAAGGGGTGGCTCAGCAGGCCTCTGGGAGGCATGGTGACCTAGGAGTTTGTTAAATAGAAACCCGATGCGGTAGTGTTTTTACATGGACAAGATTCACAGACCTAGCGCTAGGCCGGGTGATGCCATGCTGCTCAGGCCCATTGGTGTTGGGGGCCACCAGGGCCACCCCAATGTTCTCACAGGCCTCCAAGGCTATACTTGGTGGTGCTGGGGAGGAGATTTATGGAAGACATGTGCTCCAACCTGTTGAGTCCTCAACATTTTGTTTCGTTTAGGGACCACATCTGACTATACTCGGGGTTTCTCCCAGTTGTGTTTGGGGGGTCACTCCCAGCGGTGCTCAGGGGACTGTATTGTGCTCAGGATCAAACCTGGGGCCTCACATATGCATGGCAGTATTCTACCATTAAGCCTCACCCGTGACCCTGAATGATAGCACTGTAATTGCTTATGTATCTGTGGCTCTTTCTGTTTGTCTGTTTTTGTTTTTGGGTCACACCTGGCAATGCTCAGAGTGACCTGGCTCTGCACTCAGGAATTACCCCTGGGTGTTCAAGGAACCACATGGGATGCTGCGGATAGAACCTGGGATAACTGCTTGCAAAGGAAATGCTGAACCTCCCGAACTATTGCTCCAGCCCCCAAGCAACCTATTATTATCTTACAGCTGTGGAAGTCAAAAGTCAAAAGTTAAACCAGGGCCTTTCTGGTTTAAAGGCAAGCGACTTCTCTAACTTCTTTTTGTCACTTCACTTCTCCATAGAGTTGAGGAGTGATATCAGTGCTGGAAAGAAGGATTTTAATCATAGATTAAGTCACTTGTGTGAGGACCCACAACTGGCATTTAAGTTGTGGCTGGAGTTGTTATGCTGCTTTTTCTGTTTGTTTTGGGGCCACACCCAGTGGTGCTTGGGGGCTACTCCTAGCTCTGTGTTTAGGGGTTGTTCCTGGCAGCAGTGGGGGGTGGGGCGGGGAAGGACTCAGTGGTGCTGGCCACTGAACTTGGGCTCCTGTATGCAAAGCGTGGGCTGAGCCCCGTGAGCTGAGTCTCCAGCTCTGTTTTGCCGGTTCTTTTGGGGGGATGAGGCGTAGAGGGTTGGGGCACATCAGACAATGCTCAGGGCTTACTCCTGGCTCTGCGTTCAAGTTCACTCCTGGTGAGGTTTAGGGGAATCATATAGGGGATAGATACCCTAGAATTCAGGAATAGAACCCGGGTCGACTACAAGGCAAGCATCCTACCCACTTCACTGCACTGTCACTCTGGCCCTGTTCTATTGCAGGTTTTCTGTGAGCTCTTTCTGAGCAGGTAGTCAGCCAGTTTAGCGCCATGGGCATATGACTAGGGCAGATAACAGCTAGCAGAAGGCAAAGGCTGTTCGCGTCTTTTGAGAAATCTCGAGCTCACGGAACAGTTCATTTTGAGTGCCTCCAAGAAGGAGTCTTCAGGGAAGTGAAGGAGGTTACCCAGGCAAGGAAAAGGAGGAACGTGCAGAACAGAAACAGACGTTTAGGGCCAGAGAGATAGTACGAGACAGGTTCAACTCCTGCAAACCCATATGGTCCCCCGAGCCTCCACCAGGAGTGACCCCTGAACACAGAGTTAGGAGTAAGCCCTGGGCACAGTCAAGTGTGGCCCTTTCCCCCGGGTCCCTCCAAAAGAAAAAAACCCAGTAGGTGCTTGTCCTATTTCTAGGGCAGCAGACTCCAAACCCAAAAGTCCTTGTGGCTGAAATTATTGTTAAGGATTGACTGGGACATGACATGGGCAATGTTAGGGTGGTCCAATGGTGGTGGCCTTAAGGCCCAGAGAAGACCCACAGCCCAGATAGGACTTCTCAGTCTATAGGAGGTCCCTAAGACCTCAAGTCTCATCATCCTTTAGACTCCATTTAAAAATGAAGGATGGGAATGTTTGCTCCGGAAATGTAGCTCAGTGGAAACGTGCACGAAATCTAAGAGCATCATTTGCCTGCCGGAGTTTGCGCCACACTTTATATTGACGGCTGCCTCTATTTTTTTGGTGTTTTTACTGATCTAGATCTGATCTCTCCTTAGCCTGTGTGTTCCTAACGGGCAGGGATCGCACGCTTGTCCCCACTGTTCGTCCAGGGCCCAGCCCATCCTTATCAGAGCGCACGGGTCGACCTGGGGTGGGGGTGGGGGCCGCAAAAACGTCGGACTCATCCGAGTAGAAACCGAGGGGCCCGTGGAGGATTTCGCGGGGACGAGCTGTGATACTTGGGTGGGAAAACACATGGGTTTTCGAGGAGAAGGGCCCGGGGAGTGGTCCCCGCCGTCCCGGCCGAACTCCGCCCGGAGCCGGGGCGCCGCGCGAAGTGACGCGACGTGGTTTGTCCGCGGTGGGGCGCCGTAGCCCGCGCCGTTGCCAGGGGAACGGGCCCAGCGCCGGACGAGGCCCTGCCCGCCTCGGCCCGGCCGCACCGTCAGCCCGTCCGAGCCGAGCCCGAGGACTCGCCGGTCCAACCTCCGCCGCGCGGCCCGGGATGGGGCCCCGTTCCGGGGCGCGCCGCCGCCCGGTGCCCGGGGCCGCCTCCGCGGCGAGGGTCTAGAAGCGCGGCGCCCCGGGGAGGGTGGACGGCCGGGCGCGGGGACTGAACCGCTCGGTGACCTTGGCGGGGCCGATCTGGCTCGGCCGCCGCGACGCGCAGGTGAGGAACGACCCCCCTCCCGCCCCCCACCCCCCGATCGCCGCCGCCGCCGCCGCCGTCCCCGACCTGAGGCGCCGGGTCGCGGCTGCCCCCATCCGGCCGTGCCGGGGCCTGGACGCCGCCCGGGAGCGGGCAGCGCGCGGGGCCGCATTCATCAGGTTGACGGCTGCACGGAGACGCCTCCCGGGTGCCCGGGCACGGGGGACACCCCCACCCCTCCTCCCCGGCAACTCGGCCGCGCTCGGGCACCCACGTTTCTGAGGGCGCGGAGGCAGCGGGCGCCGAGGCCAGGAGGGAAAGTGATTTCAGGGCCGGCCCAGGGCCGCGGTGATGAAACGGAGAGGAGTGGTGAGGGATGGTGACTTGGAAGCTGGAAAAGGAGCCAGCCCGGCGGCGGCGGCGGCGGCGGCGGCGCGGGGGAGGCTTCGGGAAAAGGCAAACGCCACAGCAAAGATCTGGGCAAGGTCAAGTCCAGCCAGGGCCACGGGAACGGAGGGCAGCCTTGCAGGAGACGGTGGTGGGCTTGAGCCTTAGGGGAAGGGAACAGTTGCGCTGGGTTTCCAGCTTTGAAAGGCGTCTCTCTCTCTCGGGTTGTTGCCCGCTTGGTAGGTTTGAGGGCCATCCTGGTTCTGCCCACCTTGCCAGTGCCATCCAGAAGCACTTGGACTCTCTGAACCTCAGAGCCCTCCTCTGTGCAGGGGCGAGGTCCCTTTGCATGGTTTTTTTTTTGGAGGAGGGGAGGCGTGCATACTTGGTGGTGCTTAGGGCTTAACTTCTGGCTCTCCTGGCGGGGCTCCCTGGGTCATATGATATGGGGTGCTGGGGATTGAACCCTGGTCACCTGCGTGCAAGGCAAATGCTGTCCCCCTGCGTTATTGTTCCAGACCCCATCTTTGCATGTTCTTGTCAAGTAACAGAAGCACCCGCCCCTCCCCATTGCTCCCTCCTCCCAGGTCTGTGCAGAGAGCTGGCAAGGAAAGGACCTGTTTCAGGGAGTTGGGAAGTTGTGTGTGGATTCTGTTCTGGGCCTTAAAGCGGTGCCTAGCACTGGGAAAGAGCACTGGGAAAGTGCCCGCTGAGCTCCTGACAGTCATTCTCATCACTGAGATATTCTGGGGTGGGGGTGGAGGGTGCCATGATGTGGGCCTGGAGTGGACGAAGTGGCTTTACGACCTGGGTGGGGCCCTGCCTGCTCTGTGGGCCGGTGGGAGACAGGTTTGTAAATAGATAATCATCACGAGATGCAGCGGGGTGCTTAATTAGCCAAGGTTTTGTTGTTGTTTTGTTGTTGTTGTTTTTTCTTCTTCCCCACTTGTTTTTCTTACTTTGTTGTGTCACAACTTTGTTCTTAATGACTGCTTCTTGGTGGGTGTTCTTGGGCCAGGCTAGGCTCCTGTGATCATGTGAGTTGACGTCCTGGTGAAAGCAGCTGCCCGACACCCCTCGTGGGCCTTGGTTCCACCCCCGTCGCCCCCTCTTTCCTGTTTCCTTGCTTCATCTGAATTCCCATTTGCTGCAGTGGCTTCAGGAGGAGAAGGGCCCAGAATATGTTGGCGGACCACGTCACCCCCAGGAACGCTTGAGGTTTCCAGCTTGACTTGCCCTGGCATCAGACTCGTGTGTGTTGTTTGTGAGAGGAAAAGGAGGGCGGGGAGCCTCAGCCACATCTGAGATCGCTGATTGAAGAGGAGCTGGGATTTCTCCCAACTCACTTTCTGAGAGCTGTGAAGCGCATCTCAGAGGCGTCCGATCGTCATTTCCCAGAATTTTAAAGCCAGAGATATCTCTGCACCTGCAGGGAATTGCAGTGAAAAAGTTTGCGTTCCCGGTTCTTTCAGAAATGGTTTGAGTGTGTGTGTGTGTGTGTGTGTGTGTGTGTGTGTGTGAGAGTGTGTGTGTGTGAGCGCGCGTGCGCGCATGTGCATGCTGTAAAGCAGAGTGTTCCATGCAACCAGTGTTTCAAATGGGCAAACTCATTTAAATGGAGATCCTAGGGGAAAAAAAAAACCTACAAAGGATAGAAATGACACCTGAAATTCCTCTGGGAGAAGAAAGTGGGGGTTAAGGGCACACTCTCCAGGTGCCTTTCCTCCGGGTTACAGTCTAGGAGATGAGCTAGCAATGTCTGACACGGGACCGGGTCCTTCCCAGCAGTCTGCCTGTGTTCAGGCCTGGTTATCTGAGTTCAACTTGGACAAGACCCGCAGCAGTTCCGGGTCTGTCCTGCCCAGTAGCTGAACAGCACAGACTTGCTGTCCAGAGTGAGAAAGCACTGGGCTGAAACAAGCATTCTGGGTGCAGGTGGATATACGCGGTAACCAGTTTATTCCTGCCCAGGGTGACTCTGGGCTCTGCATCTCGTGAGCACATTGGCACCGGGTCATTCGGGCACGAGGCTACAGCTGGCACTTTGTTTACCCATACACATAGTTTCCCCAAGAGCAGTACGTGCAAAAAAAGTTTCCAGCAAATCCCACAGGTATCAAGGAGTCTGCAGAAAAATCCAGTCAGATCCCCTCTCTGGGGCTGCCCTGGTCACCCTCTTGCCTTTCCTTCCCGAAAGGCTCCATCCGTGCACGTGGGCACTTAAACGTCTCTGCCCCTTTGCTTTTTCCCTGGCACCATACTCAGCCACATCCCTCCTCTTGCTTCTCCCTGAACTGTGGCTCAAAGGTCACTCCATCCCTCGTTGTTTGTGATGTGGTAGAGCATTCATTCCATCGTGTGGATTGTGCTATAATTTGTTTACATTGTTTGGTGTCCTTTATTATTACAAACAAGACAGCAGTGAACTTTGTGTACTTTGTGAATATATGTCTAGGATAAATATCTCGATATGGAATGTCTGGGCCCAAGGGTGTATGTGTACTAGAGCTTGGTAGCTATTGCCAACTGCCTCCCAGCTAATAGTTCTGAAAGACAATAAAGGAGAGACAAGAGGAGGTGGCTTTGTGTAATTGGGCCCAGCGCTTCTCCCTGGGAGTCAGTTCAGAACCACAACCAAGCTTTGTCTCTTGGCAGAGCCCTCTGCCTTTGCCCTCGCTCACCGTTCTCACCGGTGGTTTTAGGTCCCAGTCCTCCAAGCCTGTTTTAGCTGTCACCTCCCTGACAGCCCTGTTACTCCACCCTTCCAGTTCCTTGGTCTCCCCTCCTAGTCCTCTTTGGAAACTGAACTCTCTCCTTCTCGAAACCCTCAGCCATCCTGCCCGGGTTCAGGGAAGCCTCAGCCCAGGGGCAGACCACACCACTCGGCTGGTCAGGTTCTTCTGACAGCATTTGGTAGCCTTCTGAAATTTTTGTTTTGCTGGAAGTGGAGTTCCCTTGAGGGAGGGATGCAAGTACAGGTGGGAAGGACAACTTCAAATGTTAAAATTGCCCATATTGAGGGCTGGAGTGGTAGTACAGTGGTAGGGCATTTGCCTTGCACATGGCTGACCCAGCTTCGATCCCCAGCTTGCCATGTGGTCCTTCAAGCACCGCCAGGAGTAATTCCTGAATGCAGAGCCAGGACTAACCTCTGTGCATTGCCAGGTGTGACCCCAAAAGCAAAAAACAAAAAGAAAAAAGATTGCCCTTATTTATTTTTATTATTATTTTTGGGGAGTGCCTTTAAACCTTGACTGTTTTTTTCCTCTCCTTGTTGCCTCATAATCCCACCCGGAAAAACATACCTACAAAAAGTGTGAAGGAGCCCAAAGAGGTAATACAGCGAGTAAGCCACTTGCTTTGCAAGTCATACCCCAGGTTCAATTCCCGTTACCAAACATGGTTCCCCCAGGCCTCCCAGGAGTGACCCCTGAACACAGAGCCAGGAGTAAGCCCTAAGCACTACCTGATGTGGCCCAAAAACAAAGAAAGAGCATTGATCCTGGAGTAAGAGAACTTAGGGTTCAAATCCCAACTCCACCACTGATCGATTATATTTGTATAGTAAATATACGGGTTGGAGCGATAGCACAGCGGGTAGGGCGTTTGCCTTGCACGCAGTCAACCAGGTTTGATTCCTTTGTCCCTCTCGGAGAGCCCAGCAAGCTACCGAGAGTATCCCACCCACACAGCAGAGCCTGGCAAGCTCCCTGTGGCGTATTCAATATGCCAAAAACAGTAACAACAAGTCTCACAATAGAGATGTTACTGGTGCCCGCTTGAGCAAATCGATGAACAATGGGAAGACAGTGCTACAGTTCTATTATTTTTGGTTCAGGGAGCCATACCTGACTGTTTGGGACTCACTCCTGATGGGGCTTATGGAGTGCTGGGAATAGAACCTGTGCTGGCTTCATGCAGAGCTAGTGCCTTCCTTAACTCTTGTTCTGTGTCTCCAGCCCTGATTACCTATAGATTAAGCATATAAAGCAAGGTAGCCTAACTTTATCTTGAAGATGCTCTTCCTGTATTTTACTTTTTTGTTTTGTTTTTTGGGCCACATCCAGTGGTGCAGTGGCGCTCAAACCTTACTCCTGGCTTTGTGCTCAGGGATCACTCCTGGTGGGGCTCTGGGGACCATATGGGATGCCAGGGGTATTGAATCTGGGTCATTCACAAACAAGTGCCCTGCTTGCTATATTGTCTCTCCTCTGTCTTGTTTATTTACTTTGGGGCTTGGGGGCCACACCTAGGAGTTGTCAAGGGCTACTCCTGGCTCTGTGGATTTGGGCCACACCCAGTGGTTCTGGGGGAGGGGGCATGTGGTGCCAGGAATTTGAGGTGTTGGCCCATGCAAGGCAAGCACTTTAACCCCTTGTTCTCTCTCCAGCTGCTTTACTATTCATTTACTTTTGTTCTGCGCTTTTTGTTTGTCTGTTTTTGAGCCACACCAGGCTATGATGAGGGCTTACTCCTGGCTCAGTGCTCAGGGATTATGGAGTGCTGGGGATTAAACCCAAGTCACTTGCATATAAGACAAGCTCCTTATCCACTGTACCATCTCTCCAGCCCCTTGGGTTTATTTATCTATTTTGGCCACACCTGGCTGGACTTGGGGGCTGCTCTGGGCTCAGGAATTGGGAGTCACTCCTGGCAGTCCTCAGGGGACCCTGTGCTGCCAGGGATTGAACCCAGGGCCTCACACAGGCAGGTGCCGTGCAGCTGAGCCACTCGAGCCGTCACAGTTAACTGAATAGTCAGGCTGCCTTTGCCTGTCCCCAGCCGCTTTTCTCCTGTCTCCCCCTCTTTGTGCCAGCCTCGCTCTGTGCTTTGTTCTGGGAAAGCAGAGAAGACGTGAAGAAGGTTCCATCCAGGTCAAAGATGCAGTCGTGGGCAGAGGGGGCTTGTGGCTGCACTTTCACCTCAGAAGTGTCAGAGGGCGACGCTTCTGGTGACTCTAAGGGCTGTCCTCTAGGGGACATTTCTGTAGGAAGCCTGTCCCCACAGTATGACTGGTCTATCCAGAGCCTGCAGGCCTCATTTTTCAGATGAGGACACAGGCCATTCAGTGAGTAAGGGACCTGTTTTCCTCCCAAACGGGGCCTTTTATTCTTCCCTTTAGAAGAACTGAAGACAAAACAAAGCATAAAAGATTCTAATTGAGGTCCTGGGAGAAGACAAAAGTCCCTCCATTTGTTTCATATTAAAAACATTTATTTTGGGGGGCGACAGTCAGCAGTGTCCAGGGGCTATTCCTGGCCCTGTGTTCCGAAGTGACCCCTGGTAGTGATCGGGGACTATAGGCGATGCCGTGGATCAACCAAGGCTGCCACAAGGCACGCGCCTTAACCCCGGTACTCTCTTTGCCCCATTTAGTGGATTGACTTCCCTGTCCCCTTCCCTTTATTGTTGTTGCATGTTTGGGGGTTGCACTTACCATGCTCCCTGCGAGGTCACACCTTTGGTTGCCATGTGCTGGAGATTACACCCCAAAGTGTGGTACACCCCCAGGATGATACTTGGCACTTGAGACAATGTCAGTAATCCTTCCTGCAGCCTTGTACTTACCATGGGGGTGGCCCCCACTGAGCCATTCTTGGCATTTCCTGTGCTTTGAGATGGGGCTTCTCAGGGCATCTTCAGTTATATCCAGGCTGGGCTTGTTGGAGACGCTGAGCCTTGGGTGACATGAAGGGCCAAGAGCAAATCCTCAGAAATTAGTTAATAGCCCAGGGGCAGGGGTAGCTGGGAGGTGTGGGTGCATGGTGGCAGAATGGGGGTGGGGGAAAGGATTGAAGGTAGGGCCAGGGTGGGGGACTGGTGGTAACAGGTGGGTCAGGAGTCCATTCCCCTCACTATACCTACGTTTCCTTTGTTTCAGATGTTTTTAAGCCAGCAAACATTTATTGAGCACCTACTACATACAAGGTATGTTCTGGGTCCTGGGGGGCTGTGGCTGTGGGGAAAAGATGTGAATAAATCCCAGTGCATGCACTCCTTTAGGAAAGCTGGCATCGTGGAGTGGACAGCTCTGGGGTGGCACATTTGCCAAGAACTGCACAAGCAAACTGCCCAGGGTTGGGGGGGGAGCGAGTGTGGAGGCTCCTGATTTCACTTAGGGTGTTTGGGGTGAGCTGGGGTGAGCATCCCACTGAGGGGGTGGCGGCAGTTGACTCTGAGGGTCTTGTTGGGCTAAGTGTAGAACGTGTTCCAGGAAGAATTGGGGGTGTGGGAGCTCCTCCTCCCTTTGGCCCTCGGTGTGGGGTCCTGACTGCCCTCTGGCTGCCAGCCCTGCGCCCCGCTCCTGGCCTTCCCACAGGAACTCTGGGTGGGCCTGCCTCCCCGAGTGTGGCGCCTTTCCCCCCACCTCGGGCCCAGAAGGTAATGGGGTGGCCACTTCCTCCCTAATGACAGGCCTGCCCTGCCTGAGACTTGGGCCACCAAGCCTGCTCTCTGACCACAGGATGCAGGTAGGGTGGAGGCGTGCTGCCCTCTGGTGGTCCGGGCCCGGCCTCCCCAGAGCCGGCCAGCGCCAGAGTCCCCAGTTCCAACCCACCTTTCAGCTCCCGCGCACCAGGCTAGCCCCAAGCTCCTCTGTTGCTGGAGCAACCGCAGAGGAATCCTCCTGTGCCGGGTGTAAGCTGCGGGCCTCCCTGCTGAGGCCTAAGGAGATGGATGAGCCCCCAGTCCTTAAGGGATTCTGCCTACCAAGGGGCAGAGGTCAGACCCCCCTCCATCACCCTCCCCCCAGTCTGAACACTCCCACTTCCTGTTTCCCTCAGCCAGGCCAGGGTCGCCTCCTGACACTTGCATTTGGGCCCCAGGACAGAAGTGACTAATCCTAACAGAATCAGCATGTGTTCTCATCTTGCTGGCCCCTGCCTGATATTGTTACCAGATGAGACATGTCTTCTTGGGTTTCACTTTGATGGCTGTGGAGACACAGCCCCTGACCAATAGACAGCCGTGCTGTGTCCTGAGTAAATCCCAGACCCTCCAAGCTTGCTGACCAGGGTGAAGGCCTGGGTCCCACACTCCTTCACCACCTTCCCCCAACCCCCTCTCGGTCAGCGGGGGGCCAGGGGTTCCCCCCTGCAGAGTAGTGAGGCAAAGGCTCCTTGTCCCAGCCTGCTCCCCTGCCCCTGGGCTGGAAACTGGCGGCAGACATGGGGCTCTGGGCTCCAGCCCGGCCCTCCCCGGGCTCGCACTTATTCTGCCCTTTGTCCCCCTGGAGATGAACATCTGCAACAAGCCCTCCAACAAGACCGCCCCTGAGAAGACGGTGTGGACAGCAGCGGCGTCAAAGTCCAGCAGACCCTCCTCGGAGCTGCTGGGCCAGCAGCGGTCCCGCCGGAACGGGTGGAGCTGGCCCCCACACCCGCTGCAGATCCTGGCCTGGCTGCTCTACTTCTTCTTCGCTCTGATCGGCTTTGGGGTCCTCATGCCCCTCTTGCCTCATGCCTGGTTGCCCTTCGGCTACACTGTATCCTTGGGAAAGAATGGGCCCGTTGGTATGTGGAAGAGGGGGGCCTTTCTCTGCCCAGAGGACCCGCTGCCTCCCTGCCCGGCCTTCCTTGTCCAGCTTCCTGATGGGGCCACTGACAGTCCCATACGTCTAGGATGCCCAGTCCCGAGGGCCTGCAGGAGCCCTGGCAGCCAGGAGAGCTGTGAAGTGCCCACTGAGCTAATCGTGTCCAGAGCTAGACAAGGGATCAATTAGAGAGTAATTATTCCATTTGTGAAAGAATTTTTCACTTTTCAGAAGGAGTCATGGTAGAATTCTTGTACATAGTCATTTTCCTGGTACATTTCAAATGTGGTTTTACTTATGGGCAGATTTACATGCTGTGACTGGGCCTGGTCTGTAAGTTAGAGCCTTGGAGAGGGAGCTCACGTTGACAGGATGCGCCGGAGGCTCCTGGCCACCGGACAGACACAGACTCACAGGAGCCTGTGGCTCCACTGCCCCCCGGGGCAGAGGACCTGGCTGCAAGGCTGGGTGGTGCAGCTGGTGGCTCTGTGCCTATGACAGGGTTAGTGCAGCCTGGCACGGGTGCTGGTGGGGTCCCGGGGGAGGAGGGCCAGGGGGCACTCAGGGCAGTAGGCAGAGGGGGCTCAATCACAGCTGGCACTTTCTGGGCTACAGCAGGTCTAGCAGCTTCTTCCAGACCCTGCTCTTCTACCCTTTCTCTTTCCCCATCTCTCCCTGTTCTCCTCCATCTGACAGGAAGGATGTGTGTGTGTGTGTGTGTGTGTGTGTGTGTGTGTGTGTGTGTATGTGTGTGTGTGCAGGAGCCCTAAGTGTGAGCACTGTTCTGGAAACTTGGGGCCCTTGGCTGCCGAGTGCCAGGGCAGAACCTGAGAGGGTGTCACCTGAAAGCAGTCACTGGAACTCCCGCTTAGTGAGATTTAGTGTCAGGTTTCACGGGCCTTGGAAGGCCCTCAGCATCTGGGCGTTTCTACTATCCAGGGACCTGGGAAAGCTGCCGAATAACCATGGACTTTGGAGCAAGCAGAACCAGAGCAAAGAACAGTGGACAAGAGTCACTGCTACTACGTGCCTCGAGCCCACCTCTCTAGTGAAGAAACTGGGGCTCAGACTCAGGCGACACAGCAGGGGGCTCAGACATCCCCTGGGCAGTGTGTGGGTGAAGGGTTTGTTCTCTGCACATTCGCGGCTTTGGGCTCCCTGAGTCTCCAGTGTGGCGGCTCCCTTTCTCAGCTGTGTTCTTCCTTCCAGCCAAGGCCCTCTCAGGGCCCTGTGGGCTGAGCTGGGTAATATCAAATACCACCAGGGCTTGGAACTGGCCTGGGCCAGAGAGTGGGCTCGGCTCTGGGCTCTCAGCTTGGAGACGGCCAGTGTTCCTTGGGGTGGCAGCCACAGACTGGGGGCAGAGGAGGACTGGAGGCCAGTGGTCCCACCTGCCCAGGTGCCCATTTGCTGTTCAGCTCTGCAGTGCAGCTCCGCCCCCTCTTCATGCCGACCTGGCTGGTGGCACCTCTTAAATGGCTTTGCCCTCTTCCAGTCTCCTGTCATCGGCCTCTCTTACCTAGATGCCATTCCAGACAGGTTGCACCACGCTCTCCAGCCTGTCGGAATCTCTGCAGCTCGAGTGCCCGCTCAGAACTACTGATGGACACAGTCCCGCCCAGCGGAACCCCCTCGAATGGCTCTGAGCTAATGGCTTCCTCCTGCTCAGGAATGAGGCTGCAGGTCCTTATATGGCCTGGAGGCTCCCCAGCCGCCAATATTATTTCCTCTATTGTTCTCTGTTGCCACAACACAGCTCTGGCCTGGAAGCCCCTGCCTTCCTCCACCCCAACGCCCAGCTCAGTCCGAAGTCAGAACCAGCGGCCCCGAGCTCGGCTGGCCTAGACTTGATTGTTTTAGCGGAGAACTAAGTTACTGACAAAGAGGATGAATCTGAAGTGTCTATCTGCAGACACATTGAAAGAACAATTCAGTTCCTTGTCGACATTTTAAAAACAAGAGGCGTCACATAAAAACCCAGATTTGTGGGCTGAAGAGGGACTTCAGGGCTAAGGTGCTTGCCTTATAGGTGGCTGACCTGGGTTCAATCCCTGCCTGGCATAGGATTCCTTGGGCACCACCAGGAATAATCCCTGAGCACAGAGCCAGAAGTGAGTACTGCTAAATGTTCCCATCTCCCAAACAGGAACAAACACAAACAGTGAGCTTCAGAATACATAAACTTGAGTGGGAGGGTCCTTGAAGGACTTTCCTATAGCTTTCAGCTTTCAAAGCTCCCTGTGGGACCCAGTGAGGGTCTGCAGGGGGACCCAGGCAGGAAGGAGGAGCAGTGTCAGGAGACCAGGGGATAGCCTGGGCAAGATATACCTCACCTGTAGCCTGGACCCTGGGGCTGAAGATGATGTGGTGGGCCATGGGACCCCCACCCCGTTTATAGCACAGCTCAGCTCTTGGGACCTTAGGGCAATTTGGGCAGGGGGTGGCAGGTGTAGGGGGGAACAGCGAAAGAGGGAGGAAGGTGACTGGATAGCCGATGGCAAGAGCATCAGTGACGGAGGGTTGCTGTCAGCCCGCCTGATGAGAGATGGACGGATGCATGCCCGGGTGGACTTGGTGAATTTGCATAGATTCAGAAGTGGCAGCAAGTTGTCGGTGTAGACATCTCCCGCAGGTGGCCCGGGCCCTGCGCAGCTAGGTCCGGAAGTGCTTCCTTTTGGTTCATGCATTAGCCAGGCTGCCTCCAGCTGGGCTCTGAATGTACCAGGCTACCCTAGACACTCAGTGGCAAGACTGCAAATGCCCAGGCTCCAGGAGGGGGAGGCAGCAGGTGTCTGAACTCGTTTCTGCAAGCCACTCTCCACTCAGCCCGGCTCCCTTTTGTGGAACTGACTTCAGACACACTTCACTATCAGAGCAGATCGTCCAGGGCCCAGTCTACGGCTCTCTGGGGCTTAGGGAGGTGCTGAAGGGCTGTGACATGGAGGCTGTTGGGGGGCTGGGGGCTGGAGGGGTCAGCCTGCGTCTTCGGGTGGCTGGCCTGTAGAGGAAGAGCCACTCTGGCCACAGGAGGCGCTGGTGGGGCTCCATCTGACTGAGCAAGGAGTGAGTCTTTAACCTGCCGGGCCAGTTTATGGGCGCCATCTTTCTCTGCCACCTCGTGGTGCATCTGACTGCTGTCACTATAGATCCAGCAGATGCCAATGTGCGGGACAAGAGCTACTCAGGACCCCTGCCCATCTTCAACCGCAGCCAACATGCACACGTCATCGAGAACCTGCACTGCAACTTGTGCGACGTGAACGTGTGAGTGGACTGTGTCGCGGATGATGCGGGCGATGCGTGTGCCCCAGCAGTAAGGGGCACGTCCAGAGCTGGCCAGTCGCCCGAGGCCTGAGACCCTCGTGTGTGCCATCCAGCATCCCGAGGGAGAGGCAGGAAGTTGGGCAAGGGAGGTGAGGAGACAAGTGATCGGAAATGGATGAGGCGCCTTATGTCCAGGCACTGACTTGGGGGGCCTTGGGCTCTACCGCATCCTCTGACCACTGATTCCTAGATGGGGTGAGCCAGGAGAGTTGGCCTCTGAGTCCTTCCCAAGTGCTGACCCCCCAGAGCTGCCTCCTACAGGGCAGGCGCGCCTTTCAGGCTCAGACTGAGTTTGGCCTGAGCCTCAGGGCAGCAGCGGACACGCTTGGCGCCCAGCAGCTGGTTCACCTCTTTTGTCCGCCGGCACTGGTGGGTGAGAGAACAGACGACTCAGAGTCCTCATGCTTTGAGCTGGCCCAGACTGTCTGCTGGGGCCCTGCCCCACTTCTGCCTCCCGGTCTCCAGGACTGTGGCCAAGGGCAGCTCCTGACTCCTGCTGGGAAGGCGAGGCAGCCTGTTGAAGAGGTCTGGCCACCGGATGGTAGAAGCCAGTGGCCAGAGGATGCTGAGGACCTGGGACTCAGACCACCCAGTCCGCATGCTGTTTGCCTGTAACTGCCCTTGCACCCCCACCCCCCCACCGCAGGGCTCTCTGTTCTGAGCTGGTCAGGCCCCATCAGGCATGCTCCCCTGGGGCTTCCCTGGGAACCCCCACTCCTTGACCCCGGAGGTTAGGAGATTCAATTACCTTCCTCCCGTGGCCTCCTCTAACCCTTCCCCATACCATCACGCGCCTTGTCCTTTGTCTCCCTTTGGAGTAGCCCAGACAGACAGGTTTTCAGGGAGAACGCCATAAACGAGCAGGGGAACAGGCGTCCCAAAATAACGTCGGGAAGATTCAAGTTGGACCCCTCTTCTCGGAGTTCTGCTCCCCGGCCTGAGCATGCGTCGGCCCTCCTGGGTCGGTGCAGGGGTCCTGGCTTGGAAAAGAAGCCTAGCTGGCACGGTCCACCACCGTCACCCCCGCAGGCAGCCGAGTGTGTCAGCCATGCCCGTGCTCGTAGCGCGGCCTCCTTTGGGTGCCCAGCTCCGCAGTGCCGCCAGAGGGCGCGTGCGTTCCCGCTGTTCGGGCGCGGTGTAGGCAGGGGCTCAGGGGTCCTTCCGCTAGCTAGGAGCAGTGAGCCGTGGAGGGGGCAGGGGAGCCTGAGCTCCAGACCACGCTGTGACCCCTCCCCTCCGCAGGAGCGAGCGCTCCAAGCACTGCAGTGCTTGTAATAAATGTGTGTGCGGCTTTGACCATCACTGCAAGTGGCTAAATAACTGCGTGGGCGAGAGGAACTACAGGTGAGAGCGAGGGCGACGGCATGGGGGGCGGGTGAGGGGCGATGGGAGGATGGGGCTCCTGGGGATACAGGTGCCCAAGCCTGTGATCCTGTAGATGAGGCTGGGCCGGTGTGCCCAGAGACCCTGTGCACTGGTCTGAGGGAATGTGCTGGAAGGCCACTTGCTGCCTGGGCGCCACTGAGGGCAGGTGTGGGGTCTCTGCTGGCCCTGGAGGAGCTGGCAGTGGAGGCTCCCTTCACCTTGGGAGTGTGGCTCCCGTCCCAACCCTTTTGAGCTCTGGGCCCTTACACCCAGCCGGGCGCGGGGTGCTGACAGTTGCCCACGGCTGGGCCCAGGCTCTTTCTGCACAGCGTGGTGACCGCCTTACTGGGTGTCGTGCTCCTTGTGGTGGTGGCCAGTTATGTCTTTGTGGAGTTCTTTGTCAATCCCATGCAACTGCGCACTGACAGCCACTTTCAAGGTCAGTCTGCACCCCCTGACCTCCCCCCCTGCCCCCCTCCGCCTGGCCCTGCCCTCGTCCCTGCTTACAGCCCGTCTGTGCCGGCAGACCTGAAGAATGACACCGAGGAATGGTTCATGTTTCTGCCTGCTGCCCCCTTGAAGACCAAGGCTCCCACCATCCCAGTCCTGGCCGCCCTCCTCATCCTCCTGGGCCTGCTTTCCAGTGCCCTGCTCGGCCACCTGCTCTGCTTCCACATTTACCTCAGTGAGTCCGTTGGTCTGGAGTGCCCCGAGGCCAGGCCCTGCCCGTGGCTCTTCCATGCCCGGGTCTCACCCCAGGCTCAGTGCTTGCAGCAGCGCCCAGGGCCCTGCCTCCCCCTCTTGGGTCCAGGTGCCTCTGCCCTGATCCTTTCCTCACTCCTGCCCCCCCAGTGTGGCACAAGCTCACCACCTACGAGTACATCGTGCAGCACCGCCCACCGCAGGAGGCAAAGCCCCCCGCTGCGCGGGAGTTCAAGTTGTGTCCCCCAGAAAGACGGCCCATTCAGGTAGAGAATCCGCCCAGGGCCCCGAGGGGGTGGGAGTCGGGGACCTGTGTGTGGGTGGACCCCTGGGGTGTAGGGAGACGCCGGTGAGGTAACAGGGCGAAGGGCCACCGGCCCCCGTGTCCCGTCTTAAGCCACTGCCCACGTGCTCTGGTGTGGGGCAGCCTGAGGGAGCACATGTGCCTCCATGCTCGTCCCCAGCGAATGGAAGCGGGTAGGACCGGAGCAGAGACTGAGTCATGGTGGAGTGTGGGCTTCTCCACCCTGACCTGCCAAGCCTTAACCCTCCAGCCAGCGGGGAGGCAGGTAGCATTGCCACACCCAGGGTCATGGAGGCCGGGAAGGCAGCAGGGAAGCCAGGCCTGGGAAGAGTTAAGGACCTGGAAGCAGGAATCCACCCAGCTGCTGGCCCGCCTACCCCCATTCCCACGCCCTGTTACTTCCTGAGGTCAGCAGCTGGGGGTGGGGGGGGGCCCAGTCCCCAAAGTCTCCAGGGACTGGGAAGGCAGGGGGCCCAGGCAGGCCTTGCTGGGAAGGCTGGGCCCTGCATCCCTGGTCCTCATGGCAACTGGACACAAACACAGTCCAGTGGGTGGATGGAGGGAGGGCTGGGGACCCCGCCTCTCCTGTCCTCACTGCCAGGGGTGGGCCAGGCTGAGGGGAGTGCTGCTGTGATTGGAGACCCCCTGCCGCCGCCCTGAGGACCTGCCCTGGGTCCTGGTGGCACCATCCCCACCCACTCCCAGACGAGACTGAGCGGGCAGTCTCCAGCTGCAGCCAGTGAATGCAGAAGCAGGGCTGACCCTGGACGCCTGGACCCTGGGCTCTGGCTTCCGCCTTATGGTCACTGCTGACCTCGGCATTGGGCCAGAGGTGCCAGCAGTGAGGGCATTTGATATCATCTGCAAAAGACACGAAGGAGGCCTGGGAGAGAAAGGGCAGCAGATCAGGCACTTGCCTTGCAGATAGCCAAGGCCAGTGACCACCCGGGGTCCATCTCCAGCACCCCATGTGCTCCCCAGATTAGCCAGGAGTGAGTCCTGAGCACAGAGCCAGGAGTAAGCCCTGAGCACCAGTGACCCGAGGGGGAAGTGAGGTGGCAGAGGGAGGAGCTAAGGGAGAGCTGGGTGAGGGGCGAGAGAAAAGAGTGGGGCACCCGGGTGGTACCCCCAGACTTTCCGCACTGACTGGTTGCTCAGGATTCTCAGATCATCCTCAGAGGCTTGGGACCCCCTCCAGGAGCCCATCAGGGGCTTTGCCCGCTGCTCTGCCAGGCCTGCAGGAGTGCTGAGTCCACAGGGGAGGGAGATGCCCTGGAGTTAGCAGGAGGATGGCCCATGGCTGACCTCTGACCCCATTCCTTTTTCTCGGGACCCCTGCTGGATTGGCGCCCTCACCACTACCCCCTCCGCTCAGAGGGCCGCCCGGGCAGAGGTGGGCATGGCGCTTGCCCCGACTTCAGTGTCTGGTCACACTGCGGCCAGAGGCTGGGCTCAGTCCCCCAGATCTGCCAGGGCCCCGTAGGCAGCCACCCCACCCCCACCCTGAGCAGGAATGCGGGAGGGGCCCCAATTTGGAGCCGTTGCCCCCAAACATAGGCTTGTTTTAGAGACGGCGGCGTTGCTGTTACAGTGTCATCTCTGCATTAGTCAGGACGCCTGGGTCTCCATGGAAACGGCTGCCGAGCCGGCGACAGCTGTCCGGGTGCCTCCCCCCGCCGGCAGGGGCGGGGACTGGCCTGGCGGGCTCCGCCCCCCACCCTGCCGGGCTGGCGCGGTCGGTGCTTTTGTTTCGGCACCTACGGCCCCCGGGGGCGGGGCCGGGCGCATCCTGCTTGCCGAGGTGCGGGCCTCCGCCCTTTGCACGACCTCCTGCAGCTGGGGTTTGGGTCTGCAACTCCCTTGCCGCGGGGAGGGTCAGTCACGAAGCCTAGTTCTGCCCTCCACCGGGGTCGGGTTGGGGTGATGGTGGACCCCCTCCTCGCCCATCTTTCTCCCCCAGTGCACGCAGAAGCCGACATTCTGCGGATTGTCTGAGGGTGAAGGGGGTGCAGCGTGCGCGGAGCCGCGGGTGCGTTCCGGCTGTGAGCAGCCAGAGGCTGGAGTCCCGGGCGGGCGGAGGGGGGCGGGGAGTCTGGCTCCTGCTCTGAGCAGGTGTGTGTCCCCGGGACTGGGTGGAGGGGGTTGGGGGGCTGCCGGGGTTCCCTGCACCGAATTGAGAGAGGCTTTGCCCCGCAGAGACTGAGCTGGAAGAAAATCCTGAGAAGGGGTTCAGGAACGGCCAGGACTGGGTGGGCTCCCAGCGAACCCTCCTGCCCCCCTGACCACCACCTTCCCCAGGAGACGGACTTCTCCATGCGGACCTCTGGTCAGGTGGACCCTGAGTCCCCTGACCATGCCAGACTGGTCACACTGAATGCCAAGTGAGTGTCACTTGGCTCACTCCTGCCAGGGCCAGCCATCTTCCTCCATCCCCCTCCGCTGCATGGCAGGTTCACCTGGGGTGGGTAGAAAGGGGGCAGGTCTAACCCCTTGTGGTTCATTGCTTGGGGCTATCTCTGGGAGTTGGGGGTGGAGGTGGGCTCGAAGGAACAGCACCCCACCTTCCCGGCCTGCTTCCTCGGCAGCGGCAGCTCCTCCGGCTTTCTTGCCACCACTGGCCAAGTGGGGCCTGTGCCACCCTCCTCCCAAGACACGCTGGCTCCACCTCCCAGGATCAGACCCCAGGTACGGGGCACTGCCCTGAACCCCCTGCCCGCTGGCAGGGGAGGGAAACGAAGCCGTGTCCTGGCGCGCACTCTTGCTTCTTTGGGCCATTTGAGTGTGGGCCGGGGACGTCCATACTCCCCCTTGTCTCCGCAGGAAAAGAGGAAGAGACGCGTGTGCAAGGTGCCAAATTCTGTGGCCCCCAGGCAGACGGGTGAGCCCCCTTCCTGTCTCCTGCCTGGCCTTCGGGGGGCAGCTCCTCACGGGAAGGGCGGCCCGAGGCAGGCGTCCTCACCGTCCCCTCTGCCCCTCAGGGTTTCTGGCCCCCCGCGGCCCCTCCAGCTTCTCATCTGATTCCGAGGACACCAGCTCGGAGCTCCCCGCCGATCCTGCCGGCGCCTACCATTCGGCGTCGGCCGAGTCCATGGACGAGATCCCAGTGGCGCAGACGCGCCTGGGCAGCGCCGCTCTGGCGGCCCCGGGGGCCAAGGACCGGGAGCCCGGGCTGGCGCTGCAGGCACGTGCGCCCGCCGTGTTCGTGAGCCTGAGCAGCGGCGAGCCGGGGGCGCCGGGCGGCGGCGAGGCCCGTCTGCCGTAGCGGTGCCCAGAGGCGGAGGGCCGAAGAGGAGCGGCCGGCCCGGTTCTCTATGCAACACCCGACCCTCGCCGCGACGAGTGCACTTTAGGGGCGCCTAAGGCCGGCGGGTTCGGCCCCCCTCCCCCACGATTCAGCAATACCTGCCCCGCCGACTATAATGCTCGAATAAACTTTTTTATGCTTTTGCGGACATCGTGCATTTCTAACGGCGGGGCTCACGGGCCCTCGTGGACGGTCTGCAGCGGGCAGGGGCCGCTGTACTGTGAGCTGGGGTGTTGCCGGCAGGTACGCGGGGACGCCTCGCTCACTCACTCCCGGTTAGGAAACATCTGCCTGGAGGTTATTTTCCTGAAGATGGGGTTTGCTCTTGGAGACTGGGCTGGTAGCAGGCTTTGGGCTCCGGCGGGGATAGCGGGAGCAGAGATCCGGGTGCCCGAACCGGGCATGGGTGGGGGGCACCAGAGGCGGCCGCGGACCCCGGAGGTCCAGGAGAATTTTCGCGGACCGTAGGACTGCGTCAGTGTGCCGGGACGGTCCCCGTCATTCGCTCGCCGTGCTTCCCCTCTCCCAGCGCTCGAGGCTGGACATTCACTACCCCAGAGAAAAGGGGAGTCAGGGGCTGCCCCCTCCCCTGAACCCATCAGACAGCCTCGGCTTGCGACTTTGGGAATCTACCACGGCTTTGGGGTTCTTACGGCTTCTGGATTCTATCACGGAGCTAGGAACCTGCTCCGAACTTCGGGCGAGCCCAGTCGGGGCCGTCTCCCGAGTAGGGGACCAGCAGAGCTGGGGAGGGCCGGACCCCCAGCCCCGAGCAGCGCGCAGGGCGCCGGCAGCGGCCCCGCCCCCGCGGAGCCCGGGCGCCGGGAGGGCGGTGTCCGGGGGCGGAGCCAGCATGACCTTGGTCACTCTCTCGCCGAGACAGCCCGGGGGTGGGACTCCGTCTCTATGGAGACCGAGAAACAGGGGATAATACGAGGGAGCCGCCCGGGCTGCAGTCCCGCCCCGGAGCCGGCAGGGAGCAGAGCTGCGGAGCCGCCGGGTCTCCCGCGTCCGTGGGTCCATTCTCGCGTCCTTCTGTCCATCGGCGCTCTGCAGGAGTAGCCACCAGGTGGAAGCCGGTAGGAGACCCGGGCGCCGATCCTACCTGTTATCCTGCACGATAAGTAAGGGGGTGAGATGGGAAAGGCCTGGAGGGGGTCTCTATCCCTTTGGATTCCTGCGCAGCCGCCAGGCGAGCGAGCGGCCCTCCCTGGACCCCAGCCCCCACCCCCCCACATGCCCCGCTGATTGATGACTCCAGCTGTCCTAGCGGGTGCAGGCGGGTGGCCCCAGTTCACGGGCGTGGCCGCCGCACCAACAGCCTGCAGACCCCTGGGCCTGAGATCATCGGAGCCTCCATCTTCCCACAGACTAGAAGTGAGCACTGGAGGCTGGATCCTGCCAGTCCCTCCCGCCCTCGAGACAAGCACCCTGAGGCTACAAGCCCACCCCTAGACTGTACCTGGGTGAACCAAGCTTACGGTCTTTGGGTTCTTGGAGTCTGGCTGCATACACCAGCAGAGTGAGGGTGTGGCGTGGCTGGAGAGTGACCCTAAGAGTCAGTGGCACGGGAGCAGCCACTTAGGAGGGAGCTAGTAGGGTCTCTGAAAATGCTTTCAGCATGAAGGCCTGGGGTAGCGAGCGGAAGGGGGGCTGGATCAGGGATCCCTGGAAGCTCTAAGGCATAGATGGTTCTGGAGAGCTCAGAGGGTGTGGTCAGGAAGACTGCAGTGGAGGTGGGGGGGAGCGGGGGTGCTGAGCACAGAGAGGGGCGTCGCAGCATAGTACCTGGGGGTCTGTATGTGCAAGTATGTGGTCGCGGACATAGGGGGGGTGCTCCATGGGGGTGTGGGCCTGAGAGTGGGGCATGAAGGCTGTGGGTGTGTGGACACCGCAGGGCGAGGGTGTGGTTCAAAGCAGTGGGGGTGGCATGGGTGCTGAGCGAATATGAATCGGGCCTTGGGGTGGGAGTTGGAGGGTGGCCTTGGTCCTGGGCTGCTGCCACAGTGCAGGCCTGGGGTGTGGTCAGGGAGGCTTGGGGGGAGGGGGAGTGTTTTCTGCATGGGGAGTGTTGCTGAGGACTTGGTGGTCAGGGGCCTAGGAGGAGACCTATTAGAGGCGGTTCCTGCGGGGGGGGGGGTGGGGGAGAGTGCGGATGCAGAGACTGGTCCAGGCCCGCAGGTCGACAGCTGTGGGGGGGGGGGGGAAGGCCAGCCTCCGCAGTGCTGGGCTGTAGGTGTGGTCAGGGTGGGCTGGGACCAGGCTGTAGGTGTGGCCAGGGGGAACAGGTCCTGGGTGGGGTGGTCAGGGCTGAGCACATCGGTCCGTGGCAGGGTGGTGCTCAGGGTGTGGCCAGCGCCCCCCCACCCACCCACTAGGAGAGGGAAGGCGCAGAGCCCGGGGAGGCCAGCTTCAGTGCAGGCTGTAGGTGTGAGAAGTCCTGGGCCAAGACCACAGCCCACTCGCTGACATGCCTCTGCAGGCCCGTAGCCACAACCTCCACTATGACAAGCCCCCCCAATCACTTGCTTCTTCGAAACCCTACAGATGGGGAGGCTACAGCCTCAATGGGTGGCAAGGGGCCAGGAAGCCACGGTTGCGCCCCAGGCACTGGGAGTACTGGCGTGCCCCACCCGTGGGCCCCTGCTCCCCAGCCCAGCCCAGCCCAGCCGCCCTGGGAGCTTCTCCCCGCGCCGCCCTGACACCATCCTGCCCTTAGCAACACTCTCCAAGCAGCACCACCCTCCCTTAGCAACTGTCTCTAGGCTTCACAAACTGTGGCCAGGCCAGCCCCAAGTTCCCGCTCCCCTCATGTTTTTGTTTAACAGCAAATAGTAACAAGGCCCTGGCCAGACCAGCTGCACCCCTGCCTAGGGCATGCACCCCTGCCTGTGCCCTGGCACCTTCTCAACCTGGGCTGGGTTTTGCTGGGGCCTCATGGACGGATAGACACACAGCCCTCGCAAGAGTACCTGCCCGGCCAGCGCCGTGGCCCGGCCCTCCCTCTGTGTGGCATGGAACTCTGCCACCCTCACTTCCACCCCAGCAGGCTTTGTGCCAGGGCCAGACAAAGCCATGGCCCCAGCTGCTGCCCTCCCAGCCTCTGGACAGTGCTACTCTGTTCCCAGCCTCGTGTGGGCATCATGATTTCAGCTTCTCCACTTCACTCGGGCTGGGCTGGCCCTGAGCAACAGGACCTTGCCTCCTGGGGCTCTTCCGTAGGATTCTGTGGCCAGCCCCTCTCCCTGGGCAGCTGTGCCCCAGGACCCTCAGAGGCACAGGCACCCATTTCTGGGGCTTGGGGAGGGAAGGGGCTCCCCGAATAAAAGTGGGTTCCCACAGGGGAACATGGCAACGAGCACAGATGTGGCTGGGCTGGAGGAGAGCTTCCGCAAGTTTGCCATCCATGGTGACCCCAAGGCCAGCGGGCAAGAGATGAACGGCAAGAACTGGGCCAAACTGTGCAAGGACTGCAAGGTGGCCGACGGCAAGGCTGTGACCGGGACCGATGTCGACATCGTCTTCTCCAAAGTCAAGTGAGCCCCAGGCCCCTGCTTCTGACGCTCCCAGGTCGGGGGTGGTGGGAGACCCGGGCCAGTGGGGACGGGGGGGTCACCACGGAGGGGGAGCACTCACGGAGCTCCCGTATCTGGCAGGGCAAAGTCGGCTCGGGTCATCAACTATGAAGAGTTCAAGAAAGCTCTCGAAGAGCTGGCTGCCAAGCGATTCAAGGGGAAGAACAAGGAGGAGGCCTTCGATGCCATCTGCCAGCTGGTGGCGGGCAAAGAGCCAGCCAACGTGGGCGTCACCGTAAGTGTGCTGCTGGTTTTGGGGTGGCCTCTGAGGGGAGCCGCATGGGGTGCCTCTTGGCGGGGGTGGGAAGGGCTGGCTCCCTACCCAGGGAAACTGTCTCTAAACAGAAAGCCAAAACCGGGGGTGCTGTGGAGCGGCTGACCGACACCAGCAAGTACACGGGCTCCCACAAGGAGCGCTTCGACGAGAGCGGCAAGGGCAAGGGCATTGCCGGGCGACAGGACATCCTGGACGACAGTGGCTACGTGAGTGCCTACAAGAACGCAGGCACCTACGATGCCAAGATGAAGAAGTGAGGCCTGGCCAGGGCCCCCAGCACGGCTGCCCCGCCAGAGGCTCGGGCCTAGGCCTGAGGGGCACGCGGAGCAAGAGAGCCCGGTCCCCTCCCTGCTGGACCTGCCACCCAGCGCTTCCTGCCCAGCCCACCAGGCCTCTGACCCAGACTGCTCTGCGGCCCCTTCCCCACCCACTTCCTCCCCCAACTTCTTTCCATCTGGGGAGATTCTGTGCCGACAGCCTCACCGCCCCGACTGACCGCTGGGCATGGCTAACTCCTGCCTGCTTGCCTCATATTTAAGCTGCTGCTCTGGCCAAGTGCCTGATCCTGACCCAGACCTCAATAAAGACCCCTTTTGTACCGGTCAGGCCGGGTTGGGTGTGTGGTTCTGGGGATGATGACACTCCTAGCCTGCTGCCCCGTCCCTCTCACTTCCTGCCTGTCGCACCCTTCAGATCGTCTCACCAGCAGCCTGCCCAGCAAGTGACACTCACGTGAGGACACTTCCCTTAGCACGGGCACGGCCGCCCGTGGGTGCAGCTGAGGATGCTGAGAGCTTTTCCCTCAGCGCCTCCCGCCTTCACAGCAGGACCGGCCCTGGGGCAGGGGCTCAGCACCACACCTTGGCCGCGCTCAGCCTGCTCATGACTCTCACTCCAGGGGCTACCGATGCGCCATTTGGGTCTCCGGCCCAGAGTATCAGAAAATGCAGGGCCGGGAGGAGTGTTCAGCTCCACATTCTCGAGCTGAGGCGACTGAGTGTGGATGGGCCTCTGCAGAATGGGGGCCAGGCCGGCTGACACAGCAAGTCCCCATGCTTGCTTCACCCGGGAGGGAGGCTGAGGGAGCCTGTGGCAGCTCAGCAGGGTCACCAGCTGGTGCCAGTTTCGGATCAAGCTTCCCGCGGAGGCTCTGAGTGTTAGGGCAGAGCTGGAGCCCAACACTCTAGACAAGACTTTTTTTTTTCTTAAAGGTAAAGGTAAAGGCCCTCCCGTTGATCATCGATTTGCTCGAGTGGGCCCAGTAACGTCTCCACTGGAGACTTTGTTGTTACTGTGTTTGGCATATCGCCGTGCGGGTGAGATACTCTCGGTAGCTTGCCGGGCTCTCTGAGAGGGGCGGAGGAATCGAACTCGGGTCGGCCATGTTGGCTGCGTGCAAGGCAAATGCCCTACCGCTGTGCTATCGCTCTGGTAGGGCGTTTGCCTTGCACGTGGCCGACCCGAGTGACCTGGGTTCGATTCCTCCGCCCCTCTCGGAGAGCCCAGCAAGCTACCGAGAGTATCTCGCCCGCATGGCAAAGCCTGGCAAGCTACCCGTGACGAATTCAATATGCCAAACACAGTAACAAGAAGTCTCTCAGTGGAGATGTTACTGGGCCCGCTCAAGCAAATCGATGAAGAACAGGACAGTGCTAGAGGACAGCACTAGAGTGCTACTGTGATAAATGGGCTGGAAGAGACTGAGGGTCCTCTGGAGGGGGCAGGAAAGGCTTCCTGGGCTCCCACTCACAAACATGCCCTTTTCTCGGCCAGGAGAAAGGCAGAGCAGGACAGCTGCTTCTTTCCTGTCCCCGACTGTCCCCTCAAGTCCAACTTCCCTTGGCAGTGATGTATATTGTGCACTTGGGGATGCTGTCAGGGACACACCGGGAAGGTGATGAGGGATTCCAAGGGGAGAGATCAACACCTGGACAGAGCCAAGCTGGGCTAACAGCCCGCAGCCATGGGCAGCTCCCGACTGGCCACCCGGGGAGGGTTTTGGGGTGCTCCCCACCTGCACTGAGGCGCCCCTCTCCGTGGGGAACCTGCGCTTGCTGAGAAGCCTCCGTCCACCTGACTCTATTAACTCACGGACGCAGGCGATGCAGTTTGTGGCAATTAAACCAGGCTCACGGTGGCACATGCCAGTGTCAGGTGTTTGAAAATAGCCTGGTTGTGGAGGAACGGCAGGTGAGCATCCCACCAGCAGTGGCTGGCCCATGCCTGTGGCTCAAGGAACCCAGAGAGAGGGAACCTCTTCTTGTTTGGGCCACACCTGGCTCTGCGGTCAGGGATCATTTCTGGCAGGCTTGGGGGACCATTATGTGGTGACGGGGATCAAACCTGGGTCAACCATGTGCAAAGACAAGCGCCTAGCTGCTGTTCCAGTCCCTTTTTATTGAAAAGTGATTATGGAGCCGCAGTTGCTGAGACGCGTCTGCGAGCCTGGCAGATGGCAGCGAGGACCGAACAAGACTCTTCAAACATCTGGCTCCATCCCCTTGGCCTTCTGGGGATAACGCTTCAGGGATCCTGCATAGCAAGGCCAGGCCGGCAGGGAGAGAGATTTGTGGGACTGAGTCACTAGCGACCTCTATTCAGATAGCCGGGGCCCAGGCCACACGGTCAGGGGTGCACAAAAGTTTTTTTTTTATCATAGACTCTCCTTGGCAGTGCTCAAGGATTATTCCTTGCTGTATGCTCAGCAGTCATTCCTGGTGGGGATCAGGGACCATGGGAGGTATTGGAGATCGAAGCTGGGCTGGCCACATGCAAGGCAAGCACCCCACCCCTGTACTAACTTTCTGGGCCTTGGCCATTCTTTTGACACTTGCCAGTCCCTCCGTCTGCTCTGCTTGCTGGAACAAGGGCCACACAAGGGAAAGTCAGAAACAGTTTGTTCCCCAGAGTGGCCAGGGACCCCGCAGAGGCTCCAGCCTAGGACAGGGCCAGCTGCTTTCAGTGACAATACAGAATGGGGTAGAAGGTGCCTCTGCCTGGCTCTTTGCTCCTCTGTGGTACTTTGACAAGGTTGGGGGCTGGCATGCTTCTAGGGGAAGAGGAAGGGCTGAGGTAGCCGAGAGAAGCCTGAGAGGGGCTGCCGGGAAGGTGGCTTGGGCGCTGGGCTGCCCAGGAGCCAATTCCGGGCTGCTGGCTCCTGACTAAGCTTAGGTTTGGAGGCGACCCTAGAAGCATGGGGTGGGGCTCTTCTTGGCAACATTTCCACAAAGCTCACCTAGCTCCCTCCAGCCTACCCAGCACCAAGACACTTAGGGTGCCCCTTTGGGGAACCCACAGGAAATCCAGAGGAGCATGGATCTTCCTTGGCATTCAGAGCTGTGCTCGTGGTTGTGATCTTTGTGACTTTCCTGCCCTGCCTGGCACCCGTCAGCGAGCAGGTGTCTCGGCCTCTCTGGACAGGACCAGGAGAAGAGGTGAAACGCAGCCTCTCGTGCAGCCTCTGCCTCCTCCCCGGCCCCATCAGCAACGGCTCTGGGCTACAGCCAAGCACAAACGTACTCAGAACCTCTTCCACGATCTTTCCCCCTGGTGCTTAAGATGCCCAGCTGTACAGGACTGTCCTGGAATATTGGGGACTCCGGTGTGAAGTGAGTGCGGAGCCCAGAGCTGTCCTTCAGAAGCCCCATCTCTGCTCTGGACAGCACTGGCCTTCTCTCTCATCTCTATAAATCCTCCTGGCCCCACCATGTTCCACTCACAGCCAATTCATCTTTTGTGTGGAAAGTTTCTAAGACACGAAGCTCCCCTCTCCTCAACCTTGGCCCACATCCTAGTAATTCTGCAAGGTCCCCCCCCACCCCCACAAGCCTTCATGGGCCCTTCCCCAGTTTCCCTAAGTAGGAACGGCTCTCTCCTGGCTTTTGTTTAGACCTGCGTGGTACCAATGCCAAACTCCAAATTTCATCACATGAGATTCTGCTTTCTCCTCCAACTAAATACTGAGTGCACCAGACCATGGTGAGAGGAAACTCAAAACTTGTTTGATAAACCTACACATCAGGGCCCTCTGTCGTTTCTTCTAACACAAAACACATCTCGTTCACCTCCAATCCCTACTGTTTCAAGTGACTTGGGGGGAAAAGATGGTGTTTCTTTTTTTCTTTTTGACATTTTCATCCAAATATTTCTATGGGATATGATGCCTAAGACAAAGTGCCAACTATTTCTGTAGGCAGGAGGAAAGAATGACTCAATGGGAGGAGACAGCGAAATAAAAAGGACCAATGCAGTGGAGTCAGAATATTTTTTTTCCCTTAACCTTGTAGTAAGCACCACCAGCGGGGTGGGACTGGTGCTGAGGTCTCCAAGACTGTGAGGCTGCGGCGTGGGGGTCCTGGACTAGCTCCATAAACCGGGCTCCGGGACAGAGTTCGAGACACTCTGTATGAGATACTGACCCGTGTCGTGTGCCACTGGCGAGGAGGACGACAGCATGCTTTTCCCAAAGGGTGACGATCTCCCCAGATGATGGTTCTTCTCCGGAGGCAGCAGAGCTTTCCCAGAATAACTTTTTTGCTCTTTATTCAGCTGCTGCAGCAGATACTCATTAGTTACCACCAGGGATCTGAGCATAGGGCAGGGAGGGGCAAAAGGCCGTAGAGGAAGCATGAAAACAAAGTCGATGCCAGTCAGCCTGAAATGTTTGTTAAAGACAAATGTAAAATGAAGTAACATCCTTAAATAGAACTGTCCGATTTATGAGCGGATGATTTTAGAAGCAGGCTGGCAGTTCCTTTCCTCATTACAGCTCTGTTTGGTTATGTTCCAGAGCGATGGCAGCAATAGCATAGTTCACATTTTACACAGTGATTGCGCGAGTCTTTCCAATGCACTTTCATGATGAGGAAAGTCAACCCACCTGGAGACTGGCACCTGACCAGGACTCCAACCAGGACTCCAATTTCTCTTTTTGTTTGCTTCTTTTGGGTTTTTTTTGGTCACACCCAGCAGTACTTAGAGCTTACTTCTGGCTCTGCGCTCAGAGATTACTCTTGACCACGATCAGGGGACAATGTGAGATGCCGGGGATGGAACTCAGGTTAGCTGCGTGCAAGGCATAAGCACCTTACCCACTGTATTATGTGGTTGGCCCCCAGGACTCTAATTTCTAGCCCTATATCGGAAAAACTTCTTCGAACCTAAATCTCTGCAAGTAGGTAATGGTGCCAGTCATGGCTGACTACCTTGACTTTGCAGTACTGTGTCATGTTGAAAGCTGTCAGACTGCACTCACCCAAACGGTGACACACAATGCTATTCTTTGCTGTGCGGCTTGGAGCCCCAAGTCTATTGGTACAGGACTAAGCACCCGGATGGATCGCGAGGCAGCCGGAAATGTTCATACGGCAGCGCACTGAGATCACACAAGGGTGATCAGTACAAGGTTAGTGCTGGAAATCAAACTCTCAGCATCATGTTCTACCACTGGGCTGCCCCTGGGTCTTTGAGCTAACTTGTATGATATCAAGTTAAACCAACATGACGCCTCCTTTTATGTGCTTTAGGGGAAATCAGTGCACACCCACAAGGCTGGCTAGTGGGAGGAAAGGGAAGAAGAGATAGGAAAGGAAACTGAATTTCCCTG